TTGCTTTTCAATAGGACCAGCTTTGCTTTACATTTGGGACAGGGGGTTATTTTACCATGGTCTGAAGATACTAATTGCTGCCTTCTTTGTTTTCTGTGTAGTAAAGAAAGAAAAGGCATGCTAGATCTGCCCCTTCTAACAGAAGCCTGAGGTTATGTTAACAGGATGCCCCACGGGGCATAAGAAGGCCTTTCTGCAAGCTGGACCTTCGTCATTTAAAATAACAACAGTAATAAACACAGAGATGTATTAGCTTTATCTTGCAATTGGTTGCGAAAAGTCCGTTGTACACAGTGAGCCTATTTCAGACTCACTCTTTTGCAGATCACCTCCAGATAACAATTTTAGGAGAATTTAAACACTTATAGGACGCCCCCCCCCCACCAGAAAATATTGCTCTCCAAACAATGACATATCAATTTAAGCAACGTTATGAAAAATCTCACTTAGGGAATGGATTTGACAATATTTAAAGAAAAGGATTGATATTTTGACTTGTGAACACTAGCAACACATGAGAATTCTCTTCAAAGAGGCATTCCTGACCATACAATATAAAATAGCCATGCATTCACACTCTAGGCCAACACAACTTTTAAATCTCTGCATAGACCTTACTATTGTCTGACATCGTTTGTTTTGTTTATTGCTTTGCTTTCAGCATCCCTGTTTCCTACACGATGTGAGCAGGAGCCTTGTGCATCTTATCCATTGCTGCAAATCTAAAGCAATGCCCAGCACTTAGTAGGTGCTCATAAAATAATGGTTGTGGAAGAGCAGAGACAGTCAGACAACTACGGTATTCAGGCACAGTTATAGTCTAGGAACAGAACTCTTGTCAAATCTTCCTTTAGTAGCTTGTCTTCGATCTGCTTCGATATTTCATGTGAAATATATGTTTGCAACCAGGAATGGAAGGTGGACAGAAAGCTGCACTTTTTTACAGGCTGTTAATCACAACTCAAAAAAAAGGCACCAGCTTTTCTCCCTCCTCAAGCCAGCCTGCTTTCTGAGGCCTCTTAATCCCAGCAAGGTTGCTAGATATCAGAACTCGCATTCTCCAGACATTTTAAACTTGCCTATTCAAGCAACAGTGCTCTCTCTGAGAAGCTAGGTAAACCATCATTTCCTTACATAATCACCTCCTAAGAGGTGGTTGATTCATACAAATTAGACACAGTCTGTGCTCATCACACTCCACGTGGCTTCATACTACTTGTGGCCTTCAGGTCTTGCTTCCTTTTCCCCACTCCCAGTTCTAGTTCAACTAGAACCTCCTGGCACATACTGAGGCAAGGCAATTCTGCCTGCCTTGCTAAGCCACACCACAGAGCCCCCAAGGTTTACCACAAGAAAGTGCAACCAGCTCGGATCCTACGGGCCCTTCCTTCTTCTGGGGGCTCCAACCCCTCAGCTGTGCTCTCCTTTCAAAGCAGTGGCCTAAGGGTGGACTCAAAGCCTTCCCTCAGTCCTCCCATAGCATTTAATAAATACAGAACACAATAGTGATGACTGTCCAGAGGAGAATCACAGAAATTAATTTTAAAGGCCCTTCACAGAAAAATAAAAGCCCTTAACTTTGACCATGTTGTTCATACCACAAATACTGCACCTCAGTGGCTTCCAGTCTTGCCCTCTCCAGTTCATTTTCCACATATCAGCCCCAGTAATCTTTGAAACAAAACACAGATCTCCTCTCCCCCTTGGTCAAGCCTCTTCTCTGGCTTCAAGGAAAGTCTAAACATTTGATGTAGCCTACGACGCACTGTGTGACCTTGCTGTTGAAGGGGTATGGCATGGTAATGATGGAAGAAGGCACTAGGCTAAGTTGGAATCCCAGCTCTGCTATTTACTATCTGCATGACCTGGGGCAAACTTTTCCTCTCTATACCTCAGTTTTCTTACCTGTAAATGGAGACGATAATAGAATCTATCTCATAGAGTTAAAGATTAAATGAATATAATAGCCATAAAGAGCATAAAGCAGTACCTGGACCATAATAAATTTTATATAAGTATTGTAATTATAATAGATACATAATTATCTATTGTCTCCTCTACCTCTCTTCCCTTCCCCTCAATTCTGTGTTCCAGCCATCCTGTATCAGGTAGGCCCTAGAATGTGCAGGGAATCAGGATTCCAGGCCCTCCCACATCCTGTGCCTCTACTTGGAACACTCTCGCGCAAATCCCCCTTATTTTCTTTCCACCCCTATCCTTCCATCTTAGCTTAACCACCACTTGCTCCGGGAAGCCTTCCCAGTCCAGGCCAGTTGCTCCTACTATGAGCTCCCACGGCACCCAGGTAGGGCTGCCAATTGTTAGGAGGCCCAGTTAAATTTGAATGTCAGATAAACAAATACTATTTTAGTATAAGCATGCCCCAAGCAATACTTGGATTTCAGATAAACAATAAATAAGTTTTAGTATAAATATGTCCCGTGCAATGCTTGAGACATAGTTATAGTAAAAATTTATTTGTTGTACATCTGACATGTGAATTTAACTGGGTGTCCTGTATTTTATCCATCAGCCCTACACCCAGGAGATCCTCTATCATAATCCTTACCAGACTTTAATAATTTTAAAAATGTAACAAGTGGTGCTGTTTCCCCTTCTACAGTGTCTGCTCTGCAGGGCTCATGCAGCCTTGCTCACTGTTTTAGACCTGGCATGGCAGGCATACCTCAGAGATATTGTAGGTTTGTTCCAGACTACTGCAATCAAGTCAGTATTGCAATAAAGCAAGTTATAACCTTTTTGCTGGTGAAAAGCATTGCCTTCAATTTGTGAAACCGAAACATCTGTGAAGCACAATCAAGCAAAGTGCAATAAAACTAGATATGTCTGTGCTGAGGAGTAGATCCATCAGGCCAAAGCTCAGGCACCCCTGTTGGGAGTTAACTCTAACTACAGGCAAGCTCTCTGGGAGAGCAAAACACTAGCTTCACTTTCCACAGCTACACTAGCTTCAAGTTCACAGGTGGATACAATGATGGTACTGCTTTTCAGGATATCTCCAGTGGGATAATACTGTTGACTTCCCAATTATAGCTTTAAGGTGACCCCACTATTTACATTCAAAAAGAACTTTGAGTTTTCACACCTATTTCACTTAACTCTTAGGGCAAGTATTAATATCTATATTTAACACATGAGGAAATGGAGGCCCAGAGAAGGTTAGCAGCTTGCCCAATCTGACCAATAAAGGGGAGCAACAATTTTTACCCTGGGAGTTGAATTTGTGGTCTTCCCTCTGTACCACATGGCCGTCTGAGCCAATTTGAAACTCCGAATTCCTGGGTTCTCCCTCCTCACCTAGGCAGCTTCTCAAGGAAGAAGTCTGATATCTGACCCTTCTGCATAGATTTAATTGCTCCTCCCATAATGGTTCCCCAACAATAGCCTGAGAGGAGACAGGGGGGCTTGGTTTCCGTATTTTGAAATACAAGTGATTCTTAGCGAATCTCTCGTGTTAGAAATTACGCTATTTAGGTCTGGAGACTAAAAATGTTGCTCAGAGTTACAGGGAAATATGGGGAACACTGACCAGAACCAGGTATTCATCCTTTTCTCTTACCCACATCTAGAGAAGACACCACCCTAAATTCCACTACATTTCTGGGGAACAAAGATTTACACGTTGATTACATACACTTGGCATCTTTCTTCTGGAATGAGGTGATTTGAGAATGGCTGAAACTGCTCTTGGTATAGCAACTAGTAATCCCAACTCTTGGAGTGTCTCCGGAAAGTTCAAGCCGAGGGTGCGTGGGCTTTCTGCCACTGGTTAATGCTTGTAAGGCTCACTAGATGCTACTTATGCCCCCCCCCACACCCCTTCTCCTGAGGGTCTCTTTTTGAGACCCTCAGAAAGATTCACTCAGGCGGAGAAGGACTCCAGCTTCTAACAGTACAGGAGACTACGGACTAAACCAGTAGTGCCCTGAGGAAACTGCCATGTTCAATACAGTCTCTCCTGCCTGGAGCGCCCACTCCCACCCCAAACACACACACACCACACACCTCCCCCCACCACCACTCCCCCTGCAGCTGTACTTCAGTGAGCTTCTGCAGGAAGCGAAACTTCCTCTGAGGAAACTTCCACTCTGAGGAGCGGAAACTGGAAACAGGGAATAACCGACAAATGGGCCGGGGACAAAGGGTCAGAAGCTAATGACTTAAAACAGAACAGGCTGTGAGCAATGTCATAAAGTGAGAAATGCAATGCTCCAACAAAGTTATGTTAAACCGCTCCAGCTTACTTGGTTTGGGGTGGAAAGTGCGGAGTTAAGTTTTACAGGACTAGATCCGCTCTTAGAGGCTCCTTGGACAGCCTTCTATTTTGTTTTGATGTTTTGAGCAGGAATGCCTGGCTGGCTGGCTGGACAAGCTTCTAGATACACAGCAACGCAGATGAACCTGCGGGGGCTCTTCTCCCGGAGACCCGCGGAAGGAGGGACACTGACTACTGGGGTCCTGCCTAAAACAAAAATCACAAACGCAGTTGAATTAGGATTATTGCTTGTATGAGTCACTGAAGAGAACTTCTGTTCTGACAGAATTCTAGCTCTTGGAATCTCCTTTTGGAGCTCGCAAGCGGACCTTTACAAAATTACCGACCTGGCCCGCATGAGTGGAGACCATCTGGTCCAGGACCGGGATATGCCCCCAACCCCACCGCCCCGGGAGAATTTTTTTCTCGGGACCCCCTCAGCTAGATCCTGAGCTCACCTGACCTCGCCGCCGCCGCCCCACCTCCACCCCACTCGGTGCTCTCAGCTCCCGCGGTGACCCGGGATCGGTTGTCCCGGTAACGCGGGACGCGCGCGTAGCGAGCCGCAAAAGGCGGGCGAGCGGCGCCGGTTGCAGCTCCTCCTCCTCCCGCTTGCAGACTACAGAGGCTGCTGAGAGCTGCCAGCCCCTCGCTCCGAAGCGGTTGTTTAGCCGGGAAAGCGCGGCTCTCGTGCGGCTCGGGACTCAGCCAGTGAGAGGCCGGGGGTGTGGTAGAGGGAAGTCGCAGGCCAGTACTTAGGGCCTCACCGCCCAGCAGGCCTGGCCTCCTTTGCACTCTCGCACACCCTGGACGTCCAGCCCGCCGCAGCCGGGGAGCCAGTGGGGCGGCCACTGGGCCGCATCATGGTGACCCCCTGCCCCACCAGCCCTGTTAGCCCTGTCGCCCGGGCTGGGAGGCGGGACAACGACCAGAACCTCCGCGCCCCAGTAAAGAAGAGCAAGCGTCCACGCCTTCGGAGGAAGCAGCCACTGCAGCCGCTGGACCCGTGCCTGCTCCCAGGAGATTCTGGAGTTTGCGACCTGTTCGAGACTCCCAGCTCCGGCTCGGATGGCGCAGACAGCCCCGCGGCGTCCGCGGCACGCGGCTGCAGCCCCTTACCCGGCCCTGCCCAGCAGTTGGTGCAGCTAGATCTACAGACCTTCAGTGATTACGGTCAGAGCTGCTACGCCTTCCTCAAGGCGCGGGAGAGCCACTTCCACCCGCGGGAGTCGCTGGCGCGGCAGCCACAAGTGAGGCGCTGGTAGAGCCAGCTCCCACCGCCGCTCTCCTGCCTCTCCTGGGCTCTCCTTTTCTGCTCTGTCTGCCCTCCGCGGCGTCCCAGCTCCCGCCAGCCTAGTTCTTGCCCCCGGTCCAAGTGGGTAGGGGCTTTGGAGGCCCGGGCTATCAGCTTTATTACAGATGGAGGAAAATGGGGCCTAGACCGCTTAAGCGACCTATCCAAAGTCTCCAAACTGGTTAGTGGGGATACCGTAGAATGCGGAGGAGTTAAAACAGCTTCTAAGTTCGAGCCCGGACTCCTACCGACCCCGGGCACATTATTTAACAATCCTGGGCGTGTTTCTTCTTCATTTGCGAAGTCGGGACCCCCCACCCCCACCAACTGAATTGCTGAGAGGATTACACGAGGTAATTTGTGTACGTGCTCTGCACAGCGCCAGGCACGAATCCAGGCGTCCCGACGCTTAGCCGGGCCAGTGCTCTTTCCACAGCAGCGCTGCCCGCGTGTTTCCCAGTTTAGGGAGCATTTACTTATTCCTCTTCTTCCTGTCTCACTCCAGGGAAGCTCCCTGAGACTTCTTGGTCTGTCCCTTCCGGAGCCCCTTTTCTCCCTAGGCTCAGCCGATCTCCTCACCCCTCCCTCCCGGCAGGTAACGGCGGAATCCCGCTGTAAGCTGCTCAGCTGGCTGATACCCGTGCACCGCCAGTTCGGCCTCTCCTTCGAGTCTCTCTGCCTGACGGTGAACATTCTGGATCGCTTTCTTACCACCACGCCTGTGGCTGCAGACTGTTTCCAGCTGCTTGGGGTCACGTCCCTGCTCATCGCTTGCAAACAGGTAGCTCCCTGCGGGACCTGGGGGGCAGCCAAACTGCCGGCCACTCTGGCCTCCTGGCTCTACAGAGCACACGATTTCGTGCTGAGTTCCTTGAACTCGTTTTGGCAGACGTTTGCAAATTTACATATCTCACAGCCTTAGCTTCACAATCCCCCTTTCCCCATAAACTTTCAAATAGTCCCCAAAGAAACAGGTTGAAATTAGTCCCAAAAGTCAGTCCCAACAGCTCTATGCAGAGCTGCTATTCTAGTCTGGCGGCAGGGTGGGGATGGGGGAAGGGCTAGGGGAGACCTTCAAAATTTCTCAAATCTTTTTTTAGCGGGACAGTAGCTAGAGAAGCTGCGCTAGAAGTACACCCCAGGTGACTTAAGTGAAAGTAATGGAGCGGTGAAGCCCCAGTTAGATTGCTGGAAGGGATGGGGGAGTCCTAGTTTTCTCCCAGGTTTGAGACTGGGGTGCGCCCTGCATGCAGCGCAGAGGGGAGAGAGCGCCCCTGTGTTACAGGTGGAGGTGCACCCGCCGCGCGTGAAGCAGCTCCTGGCCCTGTGCTGCGGCGCCTTCTCCCGGCAGCAGCTCTGCAACCTCGAGTGCATCGTGCTACACAAACTGCACTTCAGCCTGGGCGCGCCAACCATCAGCTTCTTCTTGGAGCATTTCACGCACGCCCGTGTGGAGGCCCGGCAAGCCGAAGTCCCCCAAGCCCTGGAGGCGCAAGCGCTGGCTCGAGGGGTGGCGGAGCTGAGCCTGGCAGACTACGCCTTCGCCAGTTACACCCCTTCCCTGCTGGCCATCTGTTGTCTGGCTCTGGCTGACCGTATGCTGCAGCTCCCGTGCCCCGTGGACTTGTGCCTGGGCGGGCACCCCGAGGCAGCGCTGCAGGACTGCCTGGGCAAGCTGCAGATACTGGTAGCCATAAATGGAACCTCTCTGACTCACATGCTGCCCCACCAGATTTGCAACAAGTGCAGCCTGTCCCGGAGCTTGAAATAAAGTAGATTCTGGGTCTCCTTTTATCCCTTGGCCAGGGGCCTGGACCTCTCCCATTGCTTTGAGAAAATGTAGTATTGAGCCACAAAGAGGGGTTTGGGACTCCAACTGGTCACCAGGCCATACTGTGCGTTGTAAATAGTGTACATAGTAGCGTCTATTCGTTTATTTATTTTTTTCTGAGAGCACATGAGAAGCGTCTTTTCCCAATAAACCGGCTGTCTGTCATGGTTTGTCTGAATGCTTCTATTGCCTTTGTCTGCAGGGAGGTATGGTGAAGGCAACCCTAGAATAGAGGTGGTCAGCAACAATGGGGGGGGTCCTCCCTCCCTCTGGGTCCACTCTGTAGTTGGCATCTCTGTATAATAACACCAGGTCAGGCAATGTCCAGGTGGCAGCAGATCCAGTTACAAGGCAACTCAGGGTCAACTTGTAGGCCTGTATCCCATGACCCTCCTGTCAGAAGGCTGAGGACTGCACACCCCTAGAGGTCCCAAAGGTATGGTGGGATGTGAAGCTCAGTAGAAGTCACAGCACTCCGTGCTGTCTAGAGAGGCCAGGGTGCACACGCTGGTGCCAAAGATGCCTGGCCTGGAAGCTTTGGGCACTGTGAAGCTCCACTAGCAGAGAGTGAAGAAGAGCTACCCCAACAACTAACAGATGCTGGCAATCAAGGCTTTGCAGGCAGTTAGGGCCATCACCAATGAGCCCATGTACCCTTTGGTATCACATTGTTCAACAGTTCATGCTTCTCTTCACACCTGTTATATCCGAGCCCAGGGTAACAGTGGCATACTAGTAATCATGGCTATCATTGACTGCTTAGTGTAGCAGGCACTGTGCTCAGAGTTCTTTATTTTAATCACAATGTTAAGAGTGTCTATTATCCCATTTTTCAGAGAAGGACACTGGGCCTCAGAGAGGTTAAACAACAGTGGAGCATCCAGGATTTGAAAGCAGGTGACCTAAGTTCAGTCCCTCCCTTAGAATCAGTGCTCAACTTCCCTAATTTACAGATTTCTAGAAATGCTCAAAAAACTTTCCGAGATAGAGGTGCCTGTACCAGTCCCTAACACGGGGCTGTTGTGAAGCCTAAATGAGACTGTTGTGAGGTAGTATAAAGTAGTGATTAAACAAGTGGGCTCTGGAGTCAATTTGCTGGGTGACCTTAATCAAGTCTCATCTTTATGTCAAAGTCTCTTCTGTATAAATGGGAAACACAGTAGCACTTATCTGGAGGGCTGAGGTATGGGTTTAATAATATGTTCCATACAAACCCGCCAGCACAGGCCCTGGCACATAGCAAGTCTTCAAGAAGGCTGGTGGCAGCGTGCACAAATGGGAGGGGGGTTGGTTACACAGAGAAAAAAGCTTGGAGAAAGAAAGACATAAAACAAATATAGGGAAATGTTAACAATTGGCAGTGAACATGCTGTTCGTTGTACTGGTTTTTCAAATTTTTTGTATTGAAAACAAAAAGTTTGGGGGGGAAAAGTCATGTTCGATTGCATTTAGAATAAATCTAAATGTGTGACAAATATGCACAAATAAAAAGCGAACTCAAAGCAAATGTAGAGAATCTTCCTTGCACTTTTCTCCTCCTTGGCTCAGGGAGAGGGAAGTGGTGATCCCCAAGATGTTTGAGGAAAAGCTGGTATGCGATGGTGAAAAGGAGGGGGAGGAAAATCATATTATCTGTCCCAAATTCGAAATTCCAAAATATCTGGAGCCCTCAGCCTGGCTGTGGAATGTGGTGTGTGTGTGTGATGGTGGGGGTGTGGGGTAGGGCAGGGGACTGGCCCTTTTGCAAAAGAACAACTGGGGGGAGTTCTCTTCAGCATTTACTTCATCACTCAGCCAACATTGATATGGGTGATTTAGTTCCAGAATCATCCAGACTAGGAGTCATATAATCATGCTACTCCAGCTCCTGTTGCCACAGATAATCTCTTATACATTTTTATGTACAATACCTATATTTTTGTACCAGAATTTGGAACTCATTGATGAAACATAGGCCTGTTCTGGAAAATTGGTGATGGAGATCTCCTCAAAGCTTAGGTGGGAGTGCTCCTACTCCATTTACAGGCTGGGAAGTCAGTAAGGAATAGGGGTGGAGGATGGACTGGCTAGTGGCTAGGCTACTCAGGAACCAGAAGAAGCAAAAAATAGCCAGGAACAGGCTGTAGGAGGTGGGGGATGGTGGTGGTGGGGGGTGCAGCTGAAAAGGCTCCTTAAGACAACAAGAACACTAATTCATCCACACCAAACACCAGTCACGTTACATAAATAATCTCATCTTCACAGCAAAGCGATTGGATTGGGTGTTGTTTTTCCTAAAGAACTGGGGTTCATGGATCTGGTGGGGCCTGGTTCTGATACTCAGGCACTCCTGTCCCAAAAGCCAGAGCTCCTTGAGGTCAGCATATCACACCAACTCTAGCTGACTGGCTTCACCTCACCTGGGTTCCCGCATTCAGACAGATCAGTCTCTACGTCTATTCTAGCTCTGTCATGGGGTTATTCTCCATCACTGTTAGGGGTATCTTGTTTATTAATCTAGATAATAGGGGCAAATAAAAGGGGATCGTGACACTTTAAAAGAGGATCTTTCACTAGTACTACTAGGTATAAGGCACAAACAAGATGCCCAATAAGAGGTCACAAAGATTCCAATTTCAGATGATTGTTCAAATTGGATGGATATGAGTGATCCTGAGATAGGCCCCCTCACCCAAGGATCTGGAGAAGCCCCTTCCTGGGAGAAGCTTTGGACTTGGGAAGGGCAGCCCAGATTTCGGCAGAGAAAGCAAGGTAGGCAGCTAGGGGCTGGAGAGCGGGAAGGGGGACGGAGACCGGGGCTATAGGGGATTTGGGACTGTACACTGTGGAGTTTTCAGAAACTGGAGGACAGTGTTGCTGTCACGTTTCCTTAATTGATCCTATTTTTAAAGCTGTGCTCTGGCGCCCGTTGCCCGGGAAAGTGCGGGGCTAGAGGTACCCGGCCGGGCTCCAGGCATCAGACCAAGAGAGACCAAGTGGAAGTCGGTGAGTCAAAACCAGGCTTGGGGGAAAAGGGCTTCTGTGATTTGGGTGCTGTTCTGGCAAATTCTTGCTGGAATTCTACATTTCCACCAAATCCTACAAGGCGGGACAAATGCTGGAGTCTGGCTTTGGGGAAGAAAACATGTTTTCTTCGTGTTTTGCGGCTAGGGTGGGAAGAAATTGAAACAAGATTCCTTAACCGTTCCTTCCCCGTTCTCCATACGCAGGAAGGCGGTACCTAGTGTTAGGGACCGGTAGGCCTCGTTCGCCCCACCTTCCCCTCCCTTTCTTTGGCGCGGCAGGGAGGCGGCGGCGCCAACGCTCGCCAAAAGGGCGCTCGCGGGCCCCGGCCCCGCGCTCGCGGCTCCCGGGGGAAACTGCGTTGCCAGGTTGGGTTTAACGCCTCCGCCTGAGCGCAGATTGTCCCGAGTTGAAGGCGCCACCTCTGGCGCTCCGGCGCGAGCCGCCCCTCCCGCACAGCGGTCCTCCCTCTCCTCTCCGCCTCCCTCTGCACCTCCATAATCGCCCCTTGGCTCCACCCCGGCCACGCGCCTTCCCGGGCCTCCCGACCGCTTCTGAGCCCTCAGGCACCGGGCGGAGTGCAGGGTGTGGTTGCCACCTTAGCGCCGGTCACCGCCTCCTCGCAGTCGGTGAGGGGCTCCCCAGCTAAAGCCTGCGGGGAGGCAGGATGCAGGCGTGCGGGGGTGCCGCGGCGGGACGCCGAGCCTTCGACAGCATCTGTCCCAACAGGATGCTGGAGCTGCAGGGCCGGCCCTTTGGCAAGTCCAGGAAGCTGGAGAGGAAGGTGGGGCCGCGGCGGGCCGGGGCCGGGCGGGTTCCTCACGCTCTGTGCCCCGAGGGCTGACCCGCACTCACGGTTTCTGTGCCCGACTAGTTCACCCCTCCGCGGAAGTTCTTTTCCGGTTGCGGCGGCGGCAGCCCCGTGTCGGTGTACGAGGATCCCCAGGACCCAGAGTCCGCCGTGCTGCCTGGTGAGCCGGGTGGCCCCCGCACGACTCCTCGGGTTCCGCCCGCCGAGTGGGTGGAGCACGCGTGGCTCGGAAGAGCTGCTCTCCCCGGGTTCCTACGTCCTGGCAGGGATGCCAGCGGCGAGCCCTTGCTGGAAAGCTCAGGGTCCGCCCCGCTCGTGTCTCCGGTTCTCCCCGCGCAGCCCTCACCACCATAGACCTGCAGGACCTCGCAGACTGCTCGCTACTCGGGTCCGACGCGCCGCCTAGTGGTGACTCAGAAGCCTCTCAGGTACCTCCCCTTCTTCTTGGAGCCTCTCGGATTCTGGTAGCCCAAGCTCGAGATGCCGGAGTCTTGGGTTCGTTTCCTCAAGGGCTCGTCTCCCGCGAGGAGCGCAGGCACATCTGGCCAGTGAGGGGAGACGTCGTGCGGGAATCTGAGCCTAGAGGATCAGAACTTCCGCCTCCCTCCTAGTATGTTACGACCGCCGCATTCTCAGAACTATTCTGACCAACTTCGGACAGGGGCGCTCACTTGGAGGGCTCCCCTGCCAGACCGGTCTCCGGTTCTTCTCCGCATCTATTCCCTAGGGCTACGACAAAGCAACTAGGAGATTGCTCACTGAGGGATCAGACGGGTAGGTGGGAGCAAAGTTGCGCACTGGGCATCTGATACGTCCTGTCTGTTCCCCTAACGTCTCCTTCCTGACCATTCATTAACCATTTTCACTCCCTGGGTATCTAAGAAGTGTGGAGATCTGAAGATAACTTCTGGATCAAGACTGGAAAAGACAGAGTTTACATTTGGAGGAAGCGGGAAGAGGGACAAAGGAGTCTGGAAGAAATCTAATAGAAAACGTTCCTCTCTGCAGAGATGGCCCTTCAGCAGTTGGGCACTTTAAAAAAGTTTTTTTCTCCCCCTCCAATGGCCCCCGTTACTTACCCTCATGGGGCAAAGATGCATTTGACCTTTTCCCCACCAAAAAAACCTATCTTCTTACTTTCCAATTCTACCACTTGCCAGGAGTGACATTCTAACCAGGCAGATGGTGGAGCTTCCCAGCACAGGTGTCTGGGAGGCCAGAAGTCTGGCTCATCCATGCCATGTGAAGTGCCCAGAAGGACAGGAGGTCTTAGCTAGACACGACTTACCAGTCAGTTCCTGCTTCAAAGCACCAGGTGCTGAGG